CAAGATGAGCTTGGCTTCTTGCCAGTGTGCCAAGGAGTCCATCCATAATCAGTGGGAAAAACACTCCAACCTTGGATTTCTCCTTCATTAGTCCTCTAAATAGAGATTACCTTACCTTGTCCGAAAGGGGAAAAACAAGTCATAAGTTACCCATATAATCGTTGAGGGAGCATTGTTAAATAAATTTCTGAAAACACAAATCTCAGTGGCTTATTATAGTATATCCTACAACTTTTTAACTTCCTCAGCATCACAGCTTTCCAATCCTGGTGGTACAGGGATGAAACAGAAGCCACTCCAGAGTCGCTTTACATGTCTGAGAGAGCACAGAACAGGTGAATATATTCTGTTGTCAATATTTTTTAAATGTTGATTCTATATAGATCGCAGTAAGCTATTTACACTTTCCTGTGTGTTGTGCAGGGACCCTTGAAGTTGCAGTGCTTAATTATGTGACAACTAGATTAAGATGGCCAGAAAATATCACACACCTCTGACTTTATCCTCTGACCAACCACCACAAAACAGAGGAAAAAGATGGGACATGTGTAAATTGAAAAATCTCTTGCCTGTCTATTTCCTAACACAACATATTTGCTGTGAAGTATCAGTAATACAATAAATTCATACATGCCATCTGCAGGCTTCTGGGTTATTCCTCATCCATTTGAGTCTCTCTCCTCAGCCCACAGTCCACATTGTCCTTCAGACAAGATGCGATATGCACATGATGGTTCACTCAGAACTCAGCTTCTTGGTTCCCTGCTTCTTCATCCCCAGAGACATTCTCTTTCACTTGTATGTGGTCATTCACTTTATGCCAGAATTACAGACATTGACTCCTCCACTTCTGAAATGATAAATGTACACATGCCATTCTTCCACTACAACTTTGAAACCTTCCAGAATTCCTGAACAGTACTACCAATAAGCTGTTTTTCAGCATCTCCAAACCACAGACCAATCTTCCCTCTCCATTCTTTTCAATTCTCTACTGGTTTTATTTTGCTACCTGGGTTTGTCCACCACCTGCAAAATGCTATCGACCATTAACATCAATTTCCTATTCCTATTGTTTTTCTTTCTACTCAACTAGAAAATTTTAGAAACTACAGTGTTTTTCAAACCAAGGAGATTGTTGTCAGTATTAAACAACAACAACCAGTATCAATTAGAAACTCCATACTTTCCAGATATTATTAGGTATGTCTCTCGAGTCTTTCAGCGTGTACAGGTGCAGGGATTATTGGCAGATTAGTAATTGGAGTCAAGAGAGTGAGTGCAATTTTCCAGAGACATTGTGAGGCAAATGGATTCAGGAAATAGCCCTGAGTAACACCAATAACATAACAGATGTCAAGAAGAAGGAAAAACTGACTTGCAAAAGAAACTGACAACGAATGACCGAAAATTAAGGAGGGGAAAAACTTGAAAAATGTGGTATCAGGAAAGGCAAGTGAAAAGATTATTTCCAGAGGGAGAAATGAGTAAAAATGTCTAAAGTTATTGATTGACCAAAGAGTGGCCCATCAGGTTTGAAGACGCAATGGCATGGATAGCCACAGAGAGTGAAAGTTCACTGTCAAAGTCGGTGCAGATGCCAGATTTCATCAGGCTGAGTCATAAGAAGGGGTGAGGAGTTGGTGAGGAATAGAATCATTTCTGACAAGAACTTTGCCCAGGAAAGCAGAATCAGGAGTGTTAACCAGAGGGAAGTACAAACTTGAGAGACAAGTTTGGTACTTCTAAAAGAACTTGCCTTTTTAGTATTTATAGGTGAAGATAGTCTATGGAAACAGATTTCTTCTAAAGACAAAGAATAGTCCACAGAGCTGAACTGAAAGTGGCAGTGGTGAGAAAGATAGAACTGTTTTATGTGCCTTCCAAGTCTTGATTGTTCAAAAGGGTTTTACACTTTAAACCCTTCTGTCATTTTCTGTTGCCATTAGCATAAACTCAAGCTCTTTAGCATGGTTTAAAGCCTCTTCCTAACCTTGCACCTGCCTAGCTCTCCCCAGGGAAATCATCCTTTCCCAGACTCCTCGATCCACACACCTAACACCTCTTAGTTCTCTGGCTATTTGTTCAGCATCTTCTCACCTGTATGGCTTGACATACAGAGTTCTATCTTGCAGAGACAAGATCTCCATTATTTTCCTGACCAGCACACAACCTACCTATAATTTCATAATTATTTCCTAAAGGGAATCCTTTCCTGTTTCCACAAACGAGGTCCAGGGCCTTCCCTCAACCTCTTCATGCATCCTTCGCTTCCCCACACACCTTCCTTCTCATCATAGACTGCAGATGCACCTGCCTTCTTTCCAAGCGTGAACTCCATGATAACAGAGATCAAAAATGCCCTACTAACATTATATCCCCAGTACTTAGTCCATT